TTTCGATTAAATCACATTAGTGCACAGTATTTGGCTTCGTGATTTTAGAGTAACTGGCATAAGGTATATGCTTTGGTAAAGGACGAAAAATTTGATACATTGCTTGACCCTCAAGCCATTTTTTTACATCAATAAATGGAAAGCTGTATCTGGCCTTTTTACAAGCATCCCACAATCCCTTAACATTTTGATAAAGACCCTCAGGACGATAATATAGTTTCTGTAAAGCAAGATGCCGGTCTAGATCATGAGCTTTCTAAGGATCAATAAAAATCGTAGGCTTTTGTTTTGCTATGATTTGGTCTAGCTCTCGCGCTTTTTGAGGATCGATATAAATCAAGGGTTCTCCCATTCCAATTTTTTATAATTATGAAAAAAAAGCTGGTATCTATTAAGTCAGATTCTACTCATTAGCTTGGACATTTTTTCCCCTGCACTTATGCCTAGCCTCTATTTCCTTCTGCAGGTTTAATGGAGTGTCAAACCTTAGGCGGATTGCAAGAGGATCATCTTCTGGCCTGTTGAGATCAAATACAATAAATTCTTTTTTTCGAAGGTAGCTATTAATGACCATTGAAGCATTTTTTTACATCATCAGTATATCGTCCAACGACTTTGGCCAAATCTTTACTAAAAACATGCCTACGGAATGGACAGATAATCAACTTCGTTTCTAATAAACGAGCGGAAAATAGAAATCTCGAATATCACAACGAACGAGTTCTGCTTTTACTTTTACTTTTTCAAGCAAAAATGCGTCTGCTTATTGCGTAAATAACGTCTGATCAGCAGATGCGTGTGACAAATCAAAGCGTCAATCAATGATGCTAAAACTGAGAAAAAAGAAAAAATCTCCAACAGGTAAGTAGATGTATTGTGAGTATTATTTGTAGATATCCCACTCACTCGGCAAAAAAATAGCTCCCAAGGGGGACGTTCAAACTATCAATGTTGGTACATCTTCGAAGGGTATGGAAAAGCCCGAGGAAATAGCACTGCCTTTCCCAAGGGAACCGTCTGCAGGTAAAATGGACGTATTACGAATATTTTTTGTGAAGCAACTCATTTTTATCGACAAATAGTTTTTATGGAGGGTGTTGAGTCCACCGAAATTTCCCCATCTACGAAAGACAGAGAGGTTACTTCAACCACTCCAAGCGTCGAGGAAATCAAGAAGTGGAAGCGAGCCGAT